TGTCGGCGGGGCGGGGTTGGCGCGGCAGACGAGCTCCACGGGCTTGTTCTTCACGATGTAGGCGTCCTGCGGCTCCAGCAGAAAGTGAGGGAGGGTCTCCGCCGGCGCCGAGGGGAAGGAGTCGGGGAGCACGTCGCTGTACTCCAGCCCTGCCGGGAAAGCAGAGAAGCGGGACGCGCCGTCAGTCCCTGCAACCGCGTCCAACCGCTAACAACTTCTTTCTACACCGGTTTGTCCCTCCCTCGCTTTTCTCTCGGATGCCACAAGCTCCAGGAACGCATGGGTAGCATCCAAGCAAAACGCTGGCAAGGGCGCTGCTGGGAAAGCTGACCACGACCGCAGCGTAAATCATATACATCTCCCTTTTTCGACCGAGCTGCTTTTTGGATCCCCCCGCTGCAACCCCAGCCAGCGCTCTTGATCTTGAGCTCAAAGCTCAGCAAGGCATGAGGCTCGGGAAGGGGGTTCGGCAGCCCCCGCCAGCAGGCTGTGGGGGCTGGTGGTCTTCCCATCGCGCACAAACTATTGCTCCTATCCCAGCCACGCTGTCTCCTTTCCAAAACAGACACATCCCGAAACGGTGCCTGCAGCCTCCGACAACAAAATCAGGATGCGCCCTATCCTGCCCCAGGAATCAGAGCGGGTCGTGGCTTAGGTAACCTTGATCTTACTGAACGTGCATTCTCAAAAACACGTTCAATGCAGAAACAACCATAAAAGCAGGTCACATCTGTTTGGACACGGCCAAGCAATGTCTCGAGAGGGGCAAGTCCCTGAGGACTCACCCACGGACACAACCCACGGGACCCTTCGGCACCAGAGGCTCCAGGGGGCTGGTGCCCAGGACCGGCTTCAGAAGATGCTGCCGCCCAACCTCAACAGGCAGCTCCAGCATCAAGCGTAAGAAACTTGTTCACAGCAGCTTTGCCCGTGCCCACCTCCAACCTGCACGTTTCTGCGGGTCCGATAACTTCTCCCAGCAGCGCGCAAAAACCCTGGAGAACAAACCCAAATGTCGCAAGACTAACAAAAAAACGCACGCGCACGTTGGGACGCGTGCACGGAGGGCTCTTTCTGCGTGACCCGTTGTTCTCGGGCATCTCACTGACGTAGTCAGGTCACGTTTTTGAGGCTGTGCACCCAAAGGAGTTACGAGCCTCTTCTCCTATGCTCTTCCCTCAGCCAGAGCTGTGCTTCTCGGCTCCAGGCGCTGCAGCGCTACGGAAAACAGTAAATCTCACCAGCCCGGCGATAACATCTCCAGACCTGGCAAGGAAGCAACGAGCCCACTCCTTTCGTCACCCTGGGCAAAACAGCAGCGCGGCACAAAGAGGAGCAGAGAATTTGGAAAGCCGCGTGGGATATGGGGGGGTGAGGGGGGAAGGAAGAAATCAAACGCGCTGAGGAAACAAGATGACCAAGCTGCCTCCTGAGCAAGAATCAGCGAGTGAACAAACGCACGAGGTCAGTCGTTTAAAATCCATTTAGGAAAATTGACTTTCCATTTCCATTTAACACAGCGCTAAGGGAGAGCGATAGGACGTTTGTCATAATCCATTAACTGCTCTTTTGGAAACAACGAATTAAACTCTGGGCTAATTTCTCTCTCTCCCCCTTTCTGGCTCTTCCCCACCTCTCCGCTGCTCCTGCCGGCCATTTCCTCCCCGATTTCATTTGCAGGTCTGCAATTTTCTCAGCACCCTACCGATTGCGCTGGGAACACGGGACAATTAGGAGGCACAATACCCTCCCGGGCGAGCGCTTTTGAGCTTCTGCCCGACTCCAGCACGAGGCGGATGGCCGGTACCCGAAACCATCGCCGGGCAGGAGGGGAGGACACCAGCAAGGTGCTGTAAGGCGCTGCAGCTTCTGCAAATAAACGGCAAATAAACGCCTTTCCCTGTAATTTCCCGCGATAAACAGAACAGCACGGCACCCGCGGGGGAGGCACTCGCACGGCTTTAACAAGCAACGTGCGCGCCGGGGTCCCGAGGGGAAAAGCAGCACCCCAGGGCGGGAAAAGCCAGGCGTCTCTCCTGCGGGGAGCCGGCAAGGAAGGGACGCTGCTCCCGGGCTCCGGCGTCGTCCCCGCGTAGCTCACGCGGCATCGCCCGTTCTCCCCTCTTTGTTCCCGCCCGGATTCCCCTTTTTATCCGTCTGCCACCGCAGAGGACGTTTTCTCTCCCAGTCGTCTCTGCCTCCGCGCCGGAGCTGCGGTGGTTTCACCTCGCAGCCTCTGAGAGCGGTGAACACCAGCTCCGTTTTTTCCCCTTTTTAATTTACTGCTCAATTTTGCAGCCATCAATTTGTTGTTGTTTCGTTTGTTTTGTTTTGTTTTTCCCCTAAACCGCTTTGAAGCCACAAACCCAAATTTCCTGGCAAAAAGGTGAGTGACCGACTCGAAGATAACCCATCCGGCTGGCCAGGGAGGCAGCCCA